TTCTGTTTTGCTTTTTTCAACTAGTTACGTATTGCTATATTTACTCCATTAATACTTTTTTTCTGAAAAACTAATTGACCATAATACGGCACTATTTTAAACAAAATATATAGCCATTATATTTTTTAATTTAAAGTTTTTTTAAATCAATTTTTATTGACTAAATTGAATTCCACTAATTTATTGAGAATGTTCTACTTTGGGATGATAACCGTATTCATCGGCGGTATAGGTGACTTTAATGTGTTTGCCATCCTTGGTGACGAATTCGTATTCACCCTTGACGAGCCAAGTTTTTTCGTCTTGCAAGTGACCTTCTTGGAAGGCACGAATTTTATTGGTCAATTCAAAGCCATATTTGAAATCTTCGATGTTAACTTCACGGTATTCTTTGACAACATCAGCCTCTTCGTTGGCGAAGGCAACGGCGAAAAGGCAGGCAAGGACAATAATCTGCAAAAAGGGGAATAGTTTTTGAATATAAAAATGCCATGGATGTTTTGTTCGAAAGTACTCACAGTGAATTTCATTTTCAGTTTGTCTTATGAGTTGATTCGATGTCCAAAATTGAACTGATTTAAGTCATTTTGCCAACTGCATTTATATTGTGAAAAAAAAAAAAACAAATAGAACAGGAATTCCAGATTTGATTTATTATATCAAATATCTGGATTATATAAACTACTTTTATAATCCAGATTAAGAAAATAAATAATAATTATAGCCACTAATTACTTTTTGCACACTTTAACAAATTTAATGTGTTAACTAGATTTTGTGTCTAATGTGAAATATATGTATGATTGTATGAAAAATTATTAAGTAGAATTCTACTCATGTCGTGTTTTTTTTTTACTTCGTCTTCTCAATATTTGACTAATTCGAATGATGTTTAGTATATAATAAACATAACCTTTGTGCTCAGCAAAATCTTATGTCTTAAGCAAACTTCTTAACAAAATGATCTAATGAATTATTCACCGGTGAGATTATGACATGCCGGAACATCTAAATATCAAGCATTGTTGGTACCAAGATTCCCTCATGTTTCCCCAAGAGTGATCTTCATACAAATATTTTAAACTTTCTTTGTACGTTGACCCTAAAACGAAATGCATGCATTCCCGTAGGGGAGACTGGGGCACATTCGGCAACGGGCACATCGCGTTTTCGATATGAAGCTTGACTGTGCATCACTAGCTTCGATACATAAGTATCGAATATCAAAATAAAAAAAAACTGTCGCAATGTTTGGAAGCTCTAGCGGTGTTTTTGAATTTTTACAGATGTATTTGTAACATTTCTATTCCATATCGTAAGTATTTCACGTATAAAGCTTTTCACACTTTAAGGCAGTTTTATTAAAAAGTCGTTAATTACAATGTATATTCTTATAAAAATAATTCAAAATATAATGTTTTTAGAAGATTCATAGAAAAAAAAATTAAAAATAAACTATAAAAAGTACCTTCGGGGTAGATTCGACATTTTGAAGTGGGTCACATTCGGCCATATACAGATAGTGCAATATTATTTCCTTAATATTTTTTGAGTTTGTCTTTTAAAACAATCTTTTAATATCGTTCGAAATTACATATATAAGAAGAAACGTACATGTATTAACGAAAATTCTATAGAAAAAGCTATTTCTGATGGTGTATGTGGCCTTGAGACTACAACGCCCGCAGCTAAAGATTATAGCCTTATGGCCAAACATTGAGTCGCATATTAAAACAAAATAGAACCTTTAGAGGATCTGAATTCCAACAAGACTGATAGCATTCATAATTACCAGGCTATGACTATGATGCCGAATGTGTCCCTTCAAATGACGAAGCTACCCCGAGTAGGGGAACATTCCGCAAATTTTAGTTATTTTACAAAACTCTAAAAAATTTTAACTAATACTAATTAATTATATAAATATAATATAATAATCAGCCATAAAGTTTTTTATTTGTTGAAAAGTACTGAGTTATAGATCTCTAAATAACAAGTGCCGAATGTGCCCCAGTCTCCCCTACCTCTTTTTTAATATATTAGTTTCCGAATGCTGGCTAAAAAAAAAATAGTAAAAATTGTGCATGTCCGAAACATAAAACATTTTAAATTGACATTTGGAATATTTTCACTTGTACATTCCGATATGGTAAACAGCTTTAATATGGGGGATATGTTGACACTACGAATAAGGTTTTCCCAACAAAAATTGTTACCATCCTCGTAATAACATATAGCACATATTCTTACCATAAATTATCAATTTTGCTTCACTATTTGGGGTAGCCAACCCCCCTATTAAACCGTACCGCATTAATGCTCGTTTTTTCGCGATTATCATCCAAATTGGCTGTAATTTATTATTTTGAATTCTCTTTGGGTGCGAAGTCTTTGTATCAAAAACTATCAATATTGACTTAGGTTTCGTGGTAGGCGCCACATAAACTCCTCATTATTTGGTAGTTTGGGGATTTTGAGCACGTTTTTCAACCAAATTGGCTATAATTCAAATTTAATTAAGGTATGCCATAGTTTTAAGACCATAATACATAAAAATACTATTTCATGTTATTCTTATTTAAAACACTGTGAGGAAATGAACTATTTATTTTTTTCTTATATTTGATACGCCATTTAGTATTATTTTTATTTGATTTTCATAATCTGATTTCACATTTATTATTAGTGGCCATAGCCTTACTAAAGGCATTCAAAAATAATTTTATTAATTTTACTTAAAAAAATACCACCATTTTCGATCAACCCCATTAAATTGTTGCGTTTTGTGTGTGATGTATACCTCCGTATTTGGCGAAAAGTGTGATGTATACCTCCGTATTTGTTACACGTTTCTATATCATTGCGCGCACTTAATAATCCATATTCAAAAACTAACCATAAAATCAAGAAAGCTGGTCCGCTAAAATAAATAAATTAACTTTACTCTTCGCCGAGATACATGTGTAGAAAAATCTCCAAATATGATAATTGTACAGCACATGTTCGTACAAAAAAATTATTAAGATTGACCCTTGTTGATTTCCCCTTTTCCGCAGTATCAACTTCAAAGTAGTCCCTTCCCTACTGTTTACTAGAAATGTTATGTCAACAAGGACCTTGCAATCATAAAGCCAAATATTTTTTTTTACAATTTCCTTAAAAAATAATCCTAATTACCAAAACGAAATTGCTAGTTATGATTGTTTTCTAGAAATAGATATTTTTCCAGAAAATAGGAAAATGTGAGTATTAACCTAAAAAATATTTATATATAGAATCCTTAGTTTTAATGTACTTGATTTCCATTTTATTCAGGTCATTAAAATCAACTTCTCTTAAGGACATTTTGAAAAAGAAAATCCATAAAGAAATGTTTTTTTTTTATAATTTGCAAAATTTTATTACAACAAATTAACCATTAAATTCCTAAAATGAATTCGACTAATTTATTGAGAATGTTCTACTTTGGGATGATAACCGTATTCATCGGCGGTATAGGTGACTTTAATGTGTTTGCCATCCTTGGTGACGAATTCGTATTCACCCTTGACGAGCCAAGTTTTCTCGTCTTGCAAGTGGCCTTCTTGGAAGGCACGAATCTTATTGGTCAATTCATAGCCATATTTGAAATCTTCGATGTTAACTTCACGATATTCTTTGACAACATCAGCTTCTTCGTTGGCGTAGGCAACGGCCAAAAGGCAGGCAAGGACAACAATCTGCAAACAAACGGAAACATTCAATTATAATAAATATTTCACTTCAATTTTATTCCGCTATACTCACAGCGAATTTCATTTTGAGTTTTTTACAAATAGTTAAATTTGGCTAACAAAATTGAACTGATTTCGTTAAGTTTGTCATCTGAATTTATATTCCGAATTTATGCACGGGAATTTAAGGGAAAAACAGGAATGTTTAATTAAATGTATCATGGTTTTTAAAATAAAACTGGGTTATAATAGTTTATAATTTATTTGCTAATTGTATTTGGTTTCTATGCGGAATATCTCTCCCGGAAATTCCTGTTTGTGAGTTGGCTTTCTTGTTGCCGACTTAGCTTTATTAAACATGTCGTGATGTTCGTCTAGCAAATTCTTTTTGATAGATTTATTTCCAATATTTATGTATAGTTATTTCAATGGTAACATGAAAATGCATATATGTTACAATAAAATGATAAGAACAAATAAGTGCTATCATAGGAAATTAACCTGTCAACACAACATGGGCCAGGAATCTAATTGGTTGCAAAAATTCCATTGTTGTATATTTCAAATTTGGAGACTTTGAGCTTTACTCCATTATGGGTCACGGTTTACAAATGACATGAGGTCAAAGTCAAAATTTCATATTTTTACGAAGATAACTTATATTTGACATATTATATTTAAAATATCAAATATAACTTTTACATGTGTCAAAATATTAATATGAAACGCCGGTCAATTCAATATTATTAGTAATTTGAAGATGACGTATTTTAAACTAAACGTCTTCCAGATCCTAGTGCCAAGCAGTGATAAAGGATATTTTAATGGTGATAACACCAATCGTCTTGCATTAGCAATATTGTTGATGTATACTTTTCTGCATTTTAGATTTGATTTTATACCTCACTCACTTAAAGCTCACATAAATTAACATTACATTACTGAATATCTTCAACTTTATGTTTATAAGCGAGTCTTGTTGCTATTTTTGTCTTTTAAAGTTTCGGGGATATAATTGTATTAATAATTGGATTCGTGGAAAATAAATTTAAATTCTAGTTTGACTTTCAGATTTAATTAAAACATTCCCAATATATTTATATACTTATAATTACGGAAACCCAATATTAAGTAAGCTTTATACCCTCCACGATCTAAGATAGATGTTTGAAATTTGAACATTCATTGCTACTACTTCTAGGGTATTTTGTATTGAAAGTTTAACATTTTTATACGAAATTCTCTAGGTCCCCTTATCAAGCAGGAAATCTCACCACTTAAAATTATCAATATTGGTCCAAGTATCCGGTAGACCTTATAACGGTATCCCTTACTATTAGGTATTTTCCTGTAATTTTATATTTGGCGAAGCATACGAATATTTCATGCTTTGAGGGTTTTGGGCACGTTTTTGAATCTGATCAGTTGTAATTTTGGTGTACTAAAAATTTTCAATATCGGTCCACTATTTGGGGAAGCCCCCATGTAGCGGTACCCACAATATTCGGTATTTTGATCACGTGTTTCAAAAAAATTGTGATCATTGAGTAAAAAAAGGACTTTTTTCTAATAGAGTTGGCTATAATTTGGCATAACGGATTCCTGTGAATAAACAATTTATTCCCAACTTAAAACATAACGTTTTTATAAGGCACTTGAAGTTTTTAAGGCGCGACTACTGAATCCACTCGATTTCAAACGTCTTTTCCATACCGTGTACGTCACGTTTATCCTATTCTCAAATCCAGTTATTTATATTTTACGTATGCGCTATGGAATTGACATTTGAGATCGAGTGGATCTCGTAAATATAAACACAGTTTTCTCCCCGTTTTGCTACCAGAGTGTCTCTAATTGTAATCATTATTTTTCCAGACAACAACCACATAATGCTGTAACATAGTCCATATAAATGTCCCGGCCGAGGAAATCTACATATTGGAAGATATAAAAAGATCTATCCAAACGACGTTTTTACTTGATGTCCTATTTGAGGTATAGATAACATCAGTAATCTCTTTGTTATAATAAATGTTTTTGACGGAGGTTTTGATACAAACTTAACATCAGATATTATTCCTTGGCTATTTTTTTAATATTGCTGTTTTTTTAATGATAGATTTAATGAAAGAAAATATGCTCGTATATTAGTTTTTTCTGTGATACATATTTTACAATCCAACATTTTAGGTACTTTAATGAATAACATGTTCCAATGGAACTATAAATATTAATATTTTCAAACAAAATAATCTAGGGCATACAGAGGCTCCATCGAATAATCGGACAAGTGGTTGTCAGATATAATAATGATATACATTTCAGAAAAATTGTCTAAATGTGTAGTTTTTTTTCGCTTTTATTTAAACATTACTTACTTATATTTCTGAACAATACAAAAAGCAACAACTTTCCTAGTGATAACTGTAAATTTCGTCAGAAAAACAGAAATAACTCAATTTATTGTGTTCAACGCAAAATCGGACAAAGCAAAGTATCAATGTTAAAGTCCCGTTATTATGCAAATATGAACTTCAAATCGGTATTTTGTTTGTCATATTCATTCGTGAATTGCATTTAGATCAAGAAGGTGGTGATCTATATATATAAAATAGAAAAAAAATTGTTTGTTTGTATGTTACCGATAGACGACAAAAATCGCTGAACAGATTTTAATGAGATTTACACTGTATGTCGGGGCATGCCCTGAAAGTAACATAGGCTGTATAAACTTTTAAAATTCCGCGTGGATGAGGAGTTATAGCATCAATAGTAAACATACCTCAAAATTTCTGAATATGTAATATGCGTTTATCTTAAGAACGGTTACAGATACTGTTTTCAAAATTCGCCTGAATAACGAAGGTGTCAATACACACCATCCATACAAAAATGAGCATGGTACGATTAACGGAAAATTCACTTTTTACTGCATTTTAAAAATCTACATATTGAAAATTGAAAATATTTTGTTTGTAGACTCTGAAAATGCTGAAAAGATTTTACTGAGATTTTCACAGAAAGTCATAACTTACCCTGGGAATAACATATGCTATATAAACTTCTAAGATTTCCCGAAGATGCGGTGTTATAGCTTCGAACGTAATCATACTTCAAAACTTATGAACATGTAATTTGTGTATATCTTAAGTACGGTTATAGATACCGACTTCAAACTATTGCTGAGTAACGGGACTGAAAAACCACTAAACAGATTTTACTAATATGTTCTTGGTAAGTCAAGCGATAACATGGAAGTAACATAGGTTAGATAAAACTGATGAGTAATAGCATCAAAAGTATTCATACATCTTAAAGAATGTACATACATATGTTGAACATTTTCTATGGATATATCTTAGGGTAGCGGCTTGAAAATATGGTTGAGTAACATGGATACAAATACTCATCATCCGATGAAGATATATTTTCGAACGATACGGATATGTATGTATATTGAAATAAAAATTGTGTAAAATTGAAAAAAGGTTGACATTATAATTTTCCATTTTTGTCATTTTGTGAAAACAAGTTTATTTTGAAAAAAATCAAACATTCCAGAACCTAAAAGAATCTTCTAATTTTACAAGTTTTGCAACTTTTAACTCGAAAACCGTCCCTGAACCGACAAAACTGGTAAAACATTGTATAAAATTTAAGAGAGCACAAAACAAAATGGCGTTCTCTTTGTAAACTTTTTATTCAAGAAATTTGAAATTTGATTTTGAAGTATTGCCATCCCAAACTTTTCAAATTATTTTGTACTCTGAGAGCGATTTTGAAATATTTTCCTTTTTCCACCTTTACTAGTAAGAAAGTACTGGAATAGAACAAATGTTATTTGGATTAAAAAAAAAAAAACACAAACATTGAAGTAAGTAGTGTGCATTTTAATTATAAATCGTTTTATTATCTGGAAAAAGTCAGAGACTGGGATAGGATAAATTCAGAAACACCAATATTTTTTTTAAATTTTTTTTTTGTAGTGTTAATGCGAGCATATAAAAATACCAGGGTTTACCTAATTTTAAATTAAATTTAATAAATATTGCAGCTGTATATAGGACGCTTACTAATTGATCATATCTAAATTTTAATTTGATAACTTCAGTAGGGGCAGCGAAGCGCCATGGGTCCCGCTAGTACTAAATAAAAATAAATTTAAATGGCTCCAAAAGGGAAACAATCCAGTGTGGAAATCAGTCAATTAATAGATAAATTGAATTATGAAGGTAAAACAGTAAGTGAAATTGCCGAATTGGTAGGAATGAGTAAATTTACTGTCCACGACATTATAAAGAGGTTCCGTGATGAGTTCAGATTGACCAATAAAAGCAGAGAAGGTCAAGGGAAGATATTAAATGAGCGAGAAGAGCGTTCGATATTAAAAGAAATAAAACAATATTCATTTAAAACCGCAAAAGAACTTAAAATAAATTTAAAAACTCGCACTGGAAAAGATGTGTGCCTAAATAATATTCGCAATACATTACATAAATATGATTATTATGGGAGAGTTGCAAGAAAAAATCCATTTATATGCCTTAAAAATAAAAACAGTAGAATAAAATATGCCAAAGAGTATGTACTAAAATCAGAAGATTTTTGGAAGCAGGTAATTTTATGATAGATCATCTTAAAATACATTTCTATTGATAGTTTTCATTATATTAAGGTTCTGTTTACTGACGAAAGCAAATTTAATTTACACGGATCAGATGGAAAGATGTATGTGTGGCGTAAGCCAAATGCTGAATTTAATCATAAGAATACAAAAGCCACTGTTAAGAACGGAGGAGGTTCTGTTATGGTTTGGGGCTGCATGTCGAGTGCGGGAGTAGGCAATTTGCATTTTATTGATGGTAAAAACAAAATGTAAAGCAAAGTGCAGACAAATTGGGTATCGCTAACAATTTTGCCTTTTATCAAGGCAACGATCCCAAGCACACATCAGGTGTTGCAAAGCTTTGGTTGATCCATAACTGCCCCAAACTTATACAAACACCTTCTCAGAGCCCAGACCTTAACGTAATTGAGCATCTTTGGGATGAATTAGCTAGGAGAGTGTATGAAAAACAATTGAAC